TAAAAATATATATATATATTGGCAGACCCCCAAGCACCAGCTCGCAGACCCCCTGGGGTCTGGGGACCCCAGTTTGAGAATCACTGATATAAAGGATCAAGAGAAGTGAGGTGTTTATCATAAAACAAAACATAAAGTTAGCAGAGTATTCATATTATGAGGTCACTAATTACAGATTTAAATAAAATACTGTTGGCTTAAATCCAGAATCCATTCACCAACATCTGACCATCATCATCAATGAATGGAACAATATGGGTGCTGTGGTACAAAATGATAATATTGGGGGTTTTGTCAGTGGATGATTATTACATATTTGGTGCCAAATTAAATACAAGTGACAGAAGGGTGACAGTAAAATATGTTGCTTATACAGGATTTTTGGACAATAACAGTCATCTGTAGCACAAAGGCAAAATCATACATATCTGGTTTTGGTAAAAAGTTCACTCTCTTGTTTCTGGTTCTTGTGCAAATAAGAATAATCAAAGGGAACGTCTACACACGGAAACAGAACAGTTTGTTTTTTATATAGCTTCAGCCATGCGTCCATATTTAACAGTGTTTTAGGAGCCCTAAAGTGGTATCTTTTGGAAACAAATAATGAAGAAAAGCCCAAATTGATACCTTTGCATTTTTGTGTGGACAGCCAAAATGCAACGTTTAAAAACGACGATGTCGTAGCCCCGCCTCTAATCTAACCTACGACATGAGGGAGTCATCTCCTTCTTCTTGTGTTCACATTTTGCACCCAATGTTTAAGTTTCATGTGCATGTTTCATCCTGCATTTTGTATATTTTCATGGCAGTGTTACAGCACTTCCTGCAGGCCGGCCGTAATCTTAGTATTTTAGATCATTTTCAAGGTCAAGATTCTTTATTGTCATTCACATCGCATGTGGTACATGTGGTGGAATGAAATTGTGTGCACAAGGTCCCAGTTGCACCCAAAAAAGTATAAATTGTAAAAGAAAAACAGTAATAACGGTAACAGAATATTTTGGTGTTTCTGTGTGAAATGTGTGGGTATTTTTTTCATTCATTCAACCTTTATTTAAAGTTTCATTGAGTCAGGAGGATCCACTTTCAAGAGAGACCTGTTTTAGACAGACAACATATGGAGTCAAACAACAATATACAACAATAAAAAGCAATTAACATAAAATTTGTGTTATGAAAACAATAAAATCAAGGTGCCATATAAAATTGCGGTTAAATACTAAAAACCAAGAACATGTTTGCTTAATTTTCTAGAAATAGTGCTGTGCTTATGAAGATATTTCTCTAGGAATAGCAACAACAAAAAAAGTTTTAGAACAATTATATTTTTGTTTGGAAAAAGCCAAGGGTGTGGGAAACAAATTAATAAAGCATTGTGATCTTTTTTTGTTGTAGTTGTAGCTTAAGCATGCCTTCTGATATTTTCTAGCCTACGAGGCTATTTTCCAACCAGAGTCGTGCTGATCGAAAACAAAGCCACATTTCCTGCAGCTACATTTCTTTAAAGCTACACACATGCACAATCACACAACCACACGCACACAGAAGGTGGGCTGCTGCTTCAGGTACTTTTACAGCCTCATTTTTGTAGCTCCATCTGGCTAAGACAGTGGGACTGTCACAACAGGAGTGAGTGATGAGGACGGGAGAGAAGGAAGAGAGAAGTCACAAAAGATTTGGAAACGAGGAGACACTGGCGGTTCATAAATAAATAAATGCCAGAGTACTTACAGTATGTACTTCCTTTGCTCTGCTCTTCTTCAGACTGTGCAGGCTGCCGCGAGGAGATCAAACAGGGTCAGTCTCTGCTGGCTTTGGAGCGACAGTGGCACGTCACTTGTTTTAAATGCAGGACATGCAACTGTGCACTCACCGGTGAATACATCAGCAAGTATGTGGCTCAGACTTCTATATTTACATTTCAGAAGATAACAGCTAAATATAAAAAAAGCCAGAAGAAAAGGCTATTTTATATGTCACCGTTTTTATGTTTGAAAAGGACAGCAGAAACGTTATACAAAACCAGTGGTTTTCTCTTGTTGACCGCAGAGACGGGGTGCCTTACTGCGAGACCGATTACCACGCTCAGTTTGGGATCAAATGTGAGAGTTGCAGCAGGTACATCAGCGGCAGAGTGCTTGAGGTGAGAGCAGTTGTTCCTGGATGTGTCGTTACTGTACACCAGTAAGCCTCAATAATATGACAAACCAGTTCCCCTTTCTGCGGTCGCAGCAGCATTCACTTGTCTGTGAAGGCTCTGACTCTGCTCTAAAATCTGTGGTCAAATAACAAGCAAGTCTTAACTCTCATAACCTGAGATTGAGTTGTCAATAACAGCTTAGCATGTCCTAGATATGGATGCTTGATTAGAATCAAGAGGACAAGTCAATGCCTCAAAGTTGTTTCTGTGTTCCTGAAACCGTTCTTTACGCTTACCTGCAGTATGGCAGCATGCCATCTAAGTTCATGCTCAGTCATCCAGGTACAAAATCCAGTAATGGTCAATCAGGTCATCTGGACAGTTTCTTTTTTGTGGAGAGACGTTTCGTCCTCTATCCGGAGGGCTTCATCAGTCTGAGGAGTCCCAAGTAAAATGTTTTCCCCACTAAGCAGTACACTCCTTTAGTGGAACAACCAGTTTGCTGGTGCAGTTAGATGGTTTCTGGGGACTGTCCTGTCCCGCGTCGATTCCTCCCAGGCAGGCAGCCACAGCCAAAGTGGCTCAGATAGAGGGCGAAACGTCTTTCCACAAAAAAGAAACTGTCCAGATGACCTGATTGATCATTATTGGATTTTGTACCTGAATGACTGAGCATGAACTTTGATGTCTTGAACCACTTTGGCTGTGGCTGCCTACCTGGGAGGAGTCAACAGGGGACAGGACAGCCCCCAGGAACCATCTTATCACCAGCAAACTGGTTGGAACTCCTCCGACTGATGAAGCCCTCCAGATAGAGGGCAAAATGTATTTTCACAAAAAAGAAACTGTCCAGATGACCTGACTGACCATTATTGGATATGGCAGCATGCATTCTACTGTAAGACCTTACAAATTTTCCGCTGTCTCCAGAAGCAAATAGCATGTCTGTTTGTTTATATGTCTTTATCTGCAGCACAATATCTCATCAACCACTGTACGAAGTTAATTAGAATATTAATTTGGTTCCTTATTTATCCTGTCAGGAACTTTTGCAACATCCATCCATCCATTATATTTATCCGCTTCTTCCTTTTTGGGTCGCGCGGGGTCACTGGTGCCCATGTCCAGCATTCACTGTGCGAGAGGCGGGGTGCACCCTGGGCAGGTTTCAAGTCCATCACAGGGACATAGAGACAAACAAGACAAACAAACATTCACTCTCTCACTCACACCTAGGGACAATTTAGAGTTACCAATCAGCCTAACATGCAGGTTTTTGGTCTGTGGGAGGAAACCAGAGTACCCGGAGAAAACCCACGCATGCACGGAGAGAACATGCAAACTCCACCCAGAAAGGCCCCCAGACCAGGATTTGAACCGGGGCAACCTGCTCTCTGAGAGGCAACAGCTCCACCAACTGTTCCACCGTGCTGCCCAACTTTTGCAACATTACACAAAATCTGAAGACCTATTTGTTTGTATGTGTCAATATGAGTAAGAGTTACAGTTAAAAGTGTAAAATTTGATGGAAACAGTCATTTAAATGGTGTATGTGCAAGTTTTGTGTGTGCGAGTTAGTCTTTAAAACGCTTAGAAAAGGCACAGCTGTCCCTCTTTTAATAAATACATTTGGACAGAGGATGAAGCAGTCTCCTCGTCAATCTTTTCTATTTTTTTTTTTTTTTTAATTATGCCTCTGTTTGTTTTCTGTTTTTCATCACGGCTCTGTTCTCATTTTCACATCTGTGGTGTCTGCTCTTGTTCCTCAGTAATTTCTTTCTCTTTTCACCTCCTTTCCTGCTGGATTGTGTTTGCAGGCTGGGGGGAAACGTTACCACCCCAGCTGTGCCAGGTGTGCCCGCTGTCACATGACGTTCCAGGAAGGAGAAGAAATGTTTCTTACAGGTAAGGACATAAAAGCAGACCAGCAGAAACTGTGTTTTAAGGGTTTTTTCAGAGGGGAACCTTCAGGGCCTTTTACAACTTAAGAGAAGGCTCATAAATTTGGCACATATGAAATGTTACATAAAAATAAAATAGAGGGTTTGGGGCAGATTATCCTAGCTAAAGGCCCAGGTCATACTATAGTCATTAATTCAACACTTGGTTTCCTAATGTTGCAGTAGTATAAATGTTATACCATAAAACAACCTCATAAATAGATTTTTGTTATTTATTATTGGATAAATTGCCTTAAATTACAAATAAAATACTCAAAATGAGCATTTTTAGTCCTAATAAATGAGGAAATGCAAAGTTATTCCCTTAGTAGTTATTCCATGAGTGGCTGTGGCTGAGTGGTTAGAGCAGTCATCCTCCAGTGCAAGAGTTGTGTGTTCAATTCCACCAGCAGTCACATGCCGAAGTGTCCCTGGGCAAAACACTGAACCCCTCATTGCCTCTGATGTGTGTCCCATCTGTATATGAATGTGATAAAGCTCTGATTATTCTTTGTAGAGATCTAGTAGAGTGCTGTATGAATGGGTAAGTGAGGACACAGATTGTGTGTAAAGCACTTGAGTGTCTTGATAAGAGAAATGTGCTGTATACAGTTCATTTACCATTTGTACAGTTAAAGGACATAAAAATAGACATTGTCTATTTAATTACAGTAGTTGTACCCTGCAAAGATCAAGATGGCAGGTGTGTAATTAAACAATACAGCAATTGTGTGTGCATGTGTGTGTGTGTGTGTGTGAGAGAGAGAGAGAGAGGGAGAGAGAGGCAATAGAAAAACAAAATTGAAAGAACAAAAACAAACCTTATTGATAAAAGTTGATTGATTTTGTATGTGAGTCTTGGCAACAGGCTGAATGGTAAAGAAGCACAACCACTTTCAGAATCCAGAGTCAATTCTTCTTCATCCTTCACCTGAGCTGCTGGCTTCATTACTCTACACCGTCACTGACAGAGATCTTCTGAATGAGGTTTAAATTGAACCGTTCTGGAGCTTTTATTATATGGACTGGGTAACAGTATTATATTTTAGGCTAGTAAACTGAATGGATACCATCAGATAGGGCTCACAAAATCCTCTCGTTTTGGCAAAATGTATATTTATGTGGTTTTTGTTTGATATTTCTTGAAATAAATTTCCCAAAGCAACAAAGTTTATAAGTACAAAGCCCTCCAGGGTTGTAAAACAAAACAGGGTTTGCAGAAAGACTTTTCTTCAGTTTAGTTATTTTGTGCACACACACACACACACACACACACACACACATATGCAGCAGATCATTGTTCGGGTTAGAATTTTGGACACATTCTTACTTCTACAACGAGTAACTTTTAGACAAACCATTAAACCAGTGTAAAATTGTTAACATCAACGCCTTTCAGTGGAACAAAGTGGACAATATATTACCAACTAATTTTAATCAAAATAAATTGTACTTTGAGCTGGACAGGCTTTTAGGACTCATCAAAAAGTAACACAAGGATGAAATTCCTCCAAAATTATATAAACATGCATTTTTCTTCTTAGAATAACTAACAGAATATTATTAAAGTAGCTGAAAATTATCATTAGATGTTTCAATCTAGACTCATGGACAGAAAACAGCAAGGAGCTCAGTGTCTCTCGGACGTGGGCGCTCTGACCCTGGCTTACCAAAGCTGACTTATGGGACATGGAATGTAACCTCTCTGGTTTGGAAGGAGCCTGAGCTTGTGCGTGAGGTACCGACTAGATATAGTTGGGCACACCTCGATTCACAGCATGGGCTCCAGAACCAATGTCCTTGAGAGGAGCTGGACCTTATTCCAGTCTGGAGTTTCCCATGGTGAGAGGCGCTGCGCAGGTGTGGGTCTACTCTTAGCCCCCCAACTTGGTGCATGTGTGTTGGGGTTTTCCCTGGTAGATGTGAGGATAGCTTCCCTGTGCTTTTGGGTGGGGGGGATAGGCTCTGATGGTTGTTTGTGCCTACGTGCCAAATGGCAGTTCAGAGTATCCAGCCTTCATCTAGTCCTTAGTGGGAGTGCTGGAATGTTCTCCAGCTGGGGACTCCTTTATTCTGCTTGGGAACTTCAATGCCCATGTGGGTAATGACAATGTGATCTGGATGGGCATGAGTGGGAGGAACAGCCTCTCTGATCTGAACCAGAGCATGTGCAAGGTTGTCTGTGCTTCTTGTGGTGGCCAGCCTCGGACTCGGTGGTGGGCACCCCAGGTTAGGGAGGCTGTCAAGATGAAGAAGGAGTCCTGTTGGGCCTTGTTGACTGGTGGGACTCCAGAGGCAGCTGTGGATTACTGGAGGGCCAAGCGGGCGGCTGCCTTGGCTGTTCCCGAGGCAAAAGCTTGGATGTGAAAGCAGTACAGTGAGGTCTTGGATAGAGACTCTCTATCAACTCAAATAAGATTCTGGCAAACCACGAAGTGGCTGAGGAGGTGAAAGCAGTGCTTTACTAACAGTGTGTTCAGTGAAGTTGGGGTGCGGTTGACCTCAACCAGTGATGTAATTAGAAGGTGAAAGGAAAACTTCTTGGACCTTCTCAATCCAACCAGCATGTCTTCCTTGGAGGAAGCTGAGTCAGGGGGACTTCAGGGTAAGCCTGTCCAAAACCGTGGCTGAGGTCGCCTAAGTAGTTAAAAATTTTGTGGTGACATGACTCCATGGGTGGACAAGATCCTCCCTAATTTGTTTAAGGCTATGGATGTTGTGGGGCTGTCTTGGTTGACACACCTTTGCAACATTGCTTGGACATCGGGGGAAGTGGCACCACTAGATTGGCAGACTGGGGTGGTAGTTTTCCTCTTCAAAACTGGGGGCCAAATAAGACAAATATGGAATTGGGGGCCCATTGCTACAGACTGTTTGGTCTCTATACAAGCGGTGCAAGAGTTTGGTTCTCATAACACGCAGTAAGTTGGACCCCTTGGACTCAGCCAGGGCTGCTCATTGTCACCGATTCTGTTCATCACTTTCATGGATAGAATTTCTTGGTGCAGCCAAGGGGCAGAGGGAGTCTGGTTCATGACCTCAGGATTCCATCTCTACTATTTGCGGATGATGTGATCCTGTCAGCATCATTGTGATATAATTTTCAGTTCTCACTGGAGCGGTTTGCAGTCAAGTGCGAAACAGCTGGGATGAGGATCATCACCTCCAAATCTGAGGCCATGGTCCTCAGTTGGAAAAGGGTGGATTGCTGTCTTCAGGTCGAAGGTGAGGTTCTGCCTCAAGTGGAGGAGTTCAAGCATCTTGGGGGTTTGTTCACGAGTGAGGGAAGAATGGCGCGTGAGACAAAAGGATTGGTGCGGCGGCTGCAGTATTATGGGCTCTGTGCCAATTCATTTCAATTCAGTTTAATTTATTTATACAGCACCAAGTCACAACAGAAGTCATCTCAGGACACTGAACAGAAACATTCATATAAAAATAATAATTTAACACTATTTATCTGAGGAGCAGACTGCTTTGAGCTTAACTCCATCACAGAACTCTCATCTTGAGCAAGCATGAAGGTGACAGTGGAAAGGAAAAACTTCCTCAGGAGGAAGAAACCTTTAACAGAACCAGGCTCAGAACAAGCGGATATCCTCGACCAGCTGTGTTTGGTAGAGACAGGAAACAATGATAGATACACAATGGCAGGTCAAGAATCACATGTTAAAATAGAAACAGCATTAATTGAAAACTATTCAATTTTAGCAAATTGTTTAAGGAAATTAGGTCAGTTTGTCCTCTAGTAGTCTAAACTTAAGGCAGCATAACATGCCAGTCCATTGTGGTGAAAAGGGATCTGGGCTATAAGGCAAAGCTCTCTGTTTACCAGTTAGTCTACATTCCTACACTCTATGGCCACAGACTCTGGGTAGTGACTGAAAGAATGAGACTGTGGATAGACTTCAGAACAAGAGGAAGATGATGGATGGATGCATGGGCGTCAGAAGCATCTGTAATGTGGGGGGGGACACTATAGTATGTGTGTGTGTGTGCGTGCACGCATGTGTGCACGCACATGCGTGCACGCCAGTGTGCAAATAATTGTACAGTGTACAAAAAAAGCAACATTTCATGTAGGTTTCCTGACTTTAATTCCATTCAAAGCATGTTTCTCACCAAGTTTGTGTACATGCAGCTGTTTTTAAAGACATTTTAACTTTAATGCACTTCAGGTCGGCACTATTTGTGTTTATGGAGAAATAAAAAAATATCACCACTGGACTTTTTTACTTGTGTTCAACACTGCTCATCTAAATGATGTTTCTCATGAAGCTTGAGGACAATACGGTGTTGGGTTTTAAAGACATTTCAATTTTAATGCACCTGAACACACAGCGTCTTTTACACCTGCAGCGTCACACTTACTGCTAAGCTAACATGCTGGAGACGTAGCTCTCCTCTCAAGCATCCTCCTAACATGTATATATGTTTATAATCAACCTCCCGGTCAACAACTGCCCACACTAAGCTACTAAACTGGTGAGCGAGTAACACACAGGTGTCTCCATCTCCTCCACCTGTGAGCGATCTCAGCCGAGGCAGGAGGAGACGTAAATAAGAAAGACTGCAGGTTGTAGACTGGTTGAGAGTTGGAGGTAATCAGGAAAAACTGGAGTGGAGTTTTAGTGGCCTGAGTATTCTCCTATTAATCAAGTGGAATGGATTCGTTCATGAAGAAAGAGAAACTGTGCCGACTGAAATAATGTTTCATAGTAAAAGTGGGGGGGTCCAAATTAATGTTTTTTTAAATGTGGGGGGGACTTGTCCCCTTCACATATAATGGTTGCAACGCCTATGGATGGATGGATGGATGGATGGATGGATGGATGGATGGATGGATG